ATTTTTTACTATTTTATAATTTGTTATGAAATATTGTAATTTAATTGTAGTGCGTCACATTAACCAAAGATTGTGAAAAGTGTTGAAAAATAACTTATTGCTTGAATAAAATTTTCAAATAACACTCTGAAAAATATTTATATTTCTGTCTACAATTTTTATAAATTTTTGTGCGTTTTTTGACTAAAGGGCAGAAATTTTTAAAGTAAAAACGAAAACTTTTCACGTGTAAGCTTTTTAGGTGTTTACATGTTATTTGAATCAGAGTTCTGTTTAAGTAATACTTTTCTTTTAGAATCAGCCTATGCATTTTATAAGAGTTAAGGATAAATAAATTTTGAGTTTGTTCCAGATTAAATGAGTTATTCTCATCTTATTCCCATTTTTATGTTTATTTTATAAGTCTGGAAGAGTAATATGTAAACAAGCTTTAAAACAATAATATATAAGTTTATACACATGTATACATATTTATTGAAATGTTGTTGTTGTTAATTTACGTCGCACTAGAGCTGCACAATGGGCTATTGGCGACGGTCTAGGAAACATCCCGGAGGATGATCTGAAGACATGCCCTCAAAATTTTGATCCTCTGCAGAGGGGGCGGCGCCACCGCTTCCGTAGCCCGACGACCTGCACGCGAAGTCGAGCACTTTACGGTAGCACAGTTTAACAAGGACCAATACCGCACACCCTCGGCCCCTACTCAGACTGATCCAAGTGGTCACCCACCCGCACACTGACCATAGCCAGTGATGCTTGACTTCGGTGATCTGCGGGGAACCGTGTCTTAACCATCAGTCCACTGCGGGACTTATTGAAATGTATCTTATATAAAATATATCAATTAATGAGATGTATCTTATAGAGTAACAGGAAAAAAAAATTTTAATAAATGCTTTTATATTTTTTTTACCTTAATTTTCTTTTTTAAAAATTTAGATTTAACAAAAACTTGTAGACAATTTTAAATGCAGTTCATAAAAAACATTAAATTTTTTTCTGCTTTTTTCAGTGAGTAAATTTTTTTAATTATTGAACAGTTTCTGCTCAAAATATTATACTAATAATACTGTATTATACTGAAAATTTTCTAAAGGAATCTCTATTTTGGGATATTTCTTTAACAAATCTTATAAGAAAGATTGTCATCAATAAATTTATCATATGTTAGAAAAACTTAAGATTTGAAAATACTTTACTTTTTTATAATAAAAAAAGGTATATTTATTTTTGAAAATAATATACTTTTATACTATTTCAAAGTTTTACAATCTTAATTATCGAAATACTTTGCTAAATTACTTATAATTTATTTATTATTATTACTTAGCTAAATTATTTCGTGCTATTTGAATATTATACGCATTGTTTATTTGTAATTAATTGCAGTATTTATGTTTATATTATTTCCTCTTGAAATTTTAATTTATATAATAAGATTTTGAAAGAATTGTTTAGAACGTATTTCAAAATAACAATTTTATGTGCCAATAAAATTACAATTTCTTTGTCTCTTTTCTGCCACGATATAACATATTTTTATTTATCTCGCATTTGTTTACTTATTAAAATATATCATTTCTTATTTTCAAATATATGATTAAATCTCATATTTGATTGCATATTAGAAAATAATAAATTATACAGTTAAATAAGGTTCATTCTTTTGATATTAAAAATAGTTATGATGAATCAGGATTTAAAATTAAAAGAAAAAAAATCTTATTAAATCATTTTCTATCATAAAATACACATAATATTGCTTCATGAAAAGCATCAAACAGTCCTGCTTGTTCATTTTAGTGAGTTATAATGTGATAAATAACATTGATTTAGTCTAATAAAAAACTAAAAAATCACCACTTAAAAATATTTAAGTGCTATTAAATTGGCAAAAGCAAAAATATTTTAGGTCGCTCAAAAGTCCGCGTTATCTTATGGTTCGCTAGCCCTTCAGAGGATGACGTCCCAAATCTACTGAGAAGCCTTGTCTCTCGGTAGCTATGATCCAATTCATTCTATTTATTTTTATGCAAATAATCTTGTACAGTTCAAAGTTAAATAATTGTTTTAAATACTAAAGGGGATTTTAAGAGATTTCTAATTATTTAAGGAGACATTTACCTCTCCTTTTCCCGACAACACATAAAAAAAAATATTAACTATGGGGTGGAATAGGGAAAAATATCAATTGCAGGAAAGAATTTTTTAATAAAGAGCAATATTAAAAAGTTTTCTGTGATGAGGACAAATTTTTCATAGACTGCATTCGCAAACATTGAGTATATTATGCTTTGGGTGTAGGTAGCTTCATAAAAAGGCTCGAACTCAAAGACAATAGTTAAAATACAATGGAAAATCAGACATTAACACCTATTTCAATGGGGAAGAAAAATCTCCATTTATTTCTTTACGTGACTAATTATCACTCAAAAGACTCACTCAAAAGTTTCAGATTCATTTCCCTTATCAACTAAGTAAAAATACATTCGTTTTTAGACTACAATAAAACTCATGAAATTCAAAAAAGTTCTCCCATTGAAAATGTTCCTTTTAAAGAAATTGCTTACGCATATAGCAATAAGTGATGACCGGCACATATACTCTCAAAAGATCAGGTAGACGAAGAAATCTAAGTTTATTTCCTTTATTCAAATGGACCATCACCTTTCACTTATCAAAGGAAATCAGATATTTTGAGTATACCAAGAACTTTATTTCAAATGAATTACATCTTAACGGAGTAACAGGCAGAACATATCAAGTTACTAAAGAGGAGATTGCTAGAGCAGAACAAATTTTATATAAAAAGAAGTGCCTGTATATTAAATATATTTTTAATAAAGATTCACAGGTATGTTGAAACTATAAGTACCATTATGAAATTAGACATAAAAGCTGCTAAAAGGGAATTAGAATAAAAAGCTCTTTTTTTTTAAATATCTAGAAGTGTTGATTTTTTTTAAACTTTTTTCTTTACACCAAATACATAATTAATTACTTTATTAAAAGCTATTTTAAATATACTGACAAGTTTAATTTATTTGGTAATTGAAGTAAGGTTGTAGGGTGACCTGGGGTAATTCCTGATCAAAAAATGCAAACATCTATTTTGTGAAAAAACTATTCAAGATAGAATTTTAATATTTACTGGAAGTTTGAGGCTATATGAGATGAGTCCTATGCTACCTTCGTTTGTTTGAAAATCTAATTAAATTTTAAAAGATTCTAAATTTTTAGTGATCAGGAATTACCCCTTCTCTTGATCATTTCTAGGGTAATTCCTGATCACTTCTGGGGTATACTGATCAGCGGTTTTTATATTTAAGGGGCTGTTTAAAAATAATTATACAATGGTAATTAACAAATAAGACATCAAGATCAAACAAATAAACCAAAAAGATATGTTTAAGCAGTTAATAAAACGATTTATTTAAAAGCAAGAATAAAGACTTTAAATTTTCCAAAAATCTTTGCATCATGCCATACATTTTAGGCATGCATCCAACTCATTCTCATGTTCTGCTGGAATATAAGAAAGAGTTCCCACATGGGTTACTTTTGCTGGATTTTTTAACTTCATTATGTGAGACTGTAAAGTTAAGTAAAGTATGTCAACAGCTCTGGCAGCAGCTCTCACACTGAAATTTTTATTTTCAATCATCATAGGAAATTCACTCATTTTGCTTTCTAGAAGCTTAGTGTCCTTTTTAGGCTTATAATTTCTCATCATATTTATATTAGGCTAATTTATAAACTTAAAAACTATTCTAACAATGTATACACATAAAATTAAGATTGTAAGACAAACCAGAAATGGTGCAAATTGGAATACATTTGTCTTGTATACAGTTAAAAACAAATTTTGTGATTACAGTTAGAATATACTTTATAGTTGTTCCACTTAATAAATATGAACTGTTATTTAATAAAAGACAATTAGCTATTTATTAGCTTTAATTATTAAAAAATACAAGGAATTTCAATTAATACTTAAAATATTTCAAGTTAAATACCAGTAAAAACTTAACTAAATATCTATTTTTCGTATGCAAAAATGTATAACAAGTAAATTTTTTAGCAATATGCTTAGAACTTCCAGAAATTTCAATTCCCCTCCCCTTCCCCCATAGTTGTGCATTTGTAATTTTATTTCTCTTCTATTATGCTTAAAATAACGCTCAATTTTGAATTTACTGGCATAAACCTAGAGATTCAAAAGTGGCTTTATTCAGAGTTCTCCCTAGGAATAAAAAAGGGCACTATAAATTTTAAAAGGGCACTCATTCAACACCGTAAAAATTTATCAAAATGTGTAATATTATGTAAAAACTGAATTTGATAGTCCTCAGTTTTTAAATTTCCCTCTTATACTATTTTACATGTATATTTCAAAAAAAAGGTTCTCTCTCATTATCAGAATAAGAGAAAAATTTGTAGTTTTATAAAAATAATTAAAGGCATGCTAATAGATAATCTCATGGCATAAATTTCTTTCAAAAAAAAGTAAACTAAAAATAATCATCAATTGACAAATTTTAAAGATTTTTATGTAACTTAAACTGAAAATTATGAAAAAATAAACATTTAAAGTTGCTTTTTTTTTAAAAAAAAAAAAGTTTTTAAAAATAAAAAGTTTATTAATATCCCTCCCCTCAGAGAAATGAGATAGTTATAAAATTTTATCGAGTTGAGAATAATCCTAACAAACTAAATATTTGTAATAGTAATCTGAATTAAACTTAAAAACACAGATAAAGTTACCAGTATGTAATTATTATTTACAAAGTGCATCAATTTTTTTAAAAAATGGAATATGAATAAATACGCAATGTTTTAAGGAATGGGCAGTTTATTTTACAAAAAGGACACATTTATAGAGGTCAAAGGGCAGATGCTTAGGAAGAAGACTGCTTTATTACTACTGAAGCTATACAATTTTGATTAGTTAAATATTCTCAGAATTGAAATAGATTAATAAATTGAAATAAACTTACTTCAAGAAATACAACATTAGTCTCCTTCTTCATGTGTAAAACTTTTGCTAATGGTCCATAGAGAAGAGGCATAGACTTTGGAATATCAGTAAAAGATTGAACATTTCGCATTTGCCTCTCAGCAATATTTAAGAGTTTCTTATCAATATCAATTCCAGTAATTTTTTGTGGATAAAAATGATTTGCAATTAGTAAAGTTAATTTACCAGTATTACAACCAATATCTAAAATATTTTTACCTCTAAAAAAATCTATGTTAAAAAACCTAATTCTTGGATCGCCAGAATTACCATCAAAATTCCAACTATTAAATGAGGTAATATGGTTACCATAACAAAATCTTTCTGTTCTAAATTTGTGGAGAGTAGAACAAATTTTTCTTTTAATAATCCTATGATGTGAAATATCTTGATCTGAAAGTTCTTCTGTTGAGTCTTCTTCCCGACGAGATTTTCGATGTCTTCGTCGCTTTCGTGGTTTCAATCTCCTCTGCTCCTTTGGTACAATCACCTCCGCAGAATTTAAATTAAGAGGATCATGAATGTCTTGGGGAATTACAACTTGTACTTGAGTAGGCCTTGGTGACATTCTCTTTGGAGAGTTCAATTGCTCTTCTTCATCTTCTAAGCTTTTTAAATTTAAAGGATCAGTTCTATCACCACCAAATGGCCAAGCAATACTTGCAACTCTTCTTCGTTTTTTAAAAATAATTTTACTCTCTTGCGAGCAAGAAAAAGTATATCTTCTTTTATTGTACAACCATTGTGAATGTTTCCGGAAAAATGAGTTACTACGGTGTAAATGCCGTTTCAGTGACTTTTTATCTAATTTCATTTTGATATCTGTACAATTATTGTTTGCAGAATTATGAGTCAGAGGTAAGCACTGGTGTATAGAAGGACTTGTAGGCATTTTTAAACCTTCAAGTCTTAATTAAATATTAAGACTTTAAAATCAATTAAGTTCTGGCAGTTTCATATAAGTTAAAACAAACCTCTTAAAAAACAACAGATCATTAAATAAGTAAAAATTTACAATAACACTAACTTGTCTTCCCACTTTGATTTTACCACACGTGCGTTTATTTACATGTTTATGCAAGGGGTGACGTCTGGTGGAGAGGAAAAACATATCAACACTGACGACAGTAGCAACAAACGTCAATCCTATGGAAAATATCCAGAGAATCGAAAGAAAGATCTAATTAACAACACTAATCATGAGCTAAAACTCGATCGATATTTGCTTGATAATCACCTTAACTTTAAAGATTTTGAGTAAATCCAAATAAACTTTTGTATAAGATCAATTACTCCCTACATTAAAATTGAAGCTGTAAGAACTGGCCCGGGAGAGCGCAAATAAGCGAAAAGCTACGGAATATTGCCCCCCTCCTCTCCTCTTCCGAATGAATTCGCTTCACTGTTGCCAAACATACGAAATATTATCATCAAATCTTATGATGTTGTTGTTATTGTTACTTTACGTCGCACTAGAGCTGCACAATGGGCTATTGACGACGGTCTGGGAAACATCCCGGAGGATGATCCGAAGACATGCCATCACAATTTTGATCCTCTGCGGAAGGGATTGCACCCCCGCTTCGTCAAATCTTAAGAAGACCATGGAAAGGCTGTTGCTTGGCTGCCCGCCTTTTTAATAAATAGAGGCATTTGATTGGTCGATTATATAATCGTTTTCATCGTTATCGCTTAATCGTTTTGTCAGGTTTACTAGAATAGCGTTTTTAGCATTTTTGTTTGGCGCAATTTTAATAACGCGCATGCTCAGTTTGATAATTTATTCAAACCAATCGAAGTACTTCGTAGACAATGAATATAGAGGCTTGTATCCCCTTATTTGCTCGTGTATACTAAAACAAGGACATAAAGAAGGAAAGATCAATCACTGTACCAAACAGATGTCAGGGTGAACTTTGACATTGGACACATCACTGGTCTCTATTTTTTTCATTTGATTTTCATCAATTGTTATGATAAATAATAACATTCTGTCTCTGTGCCAGAAAAATCTGAACACATTTTTTTAAAGATTTATAATTTGTAAATTTTAAATGAAAAAATTAATGTATTTTAAAAAATTGATTTTTATATTGTTCTGAAATTCAAATACTTGAAATAAATATTAAAAAAACAATTTAAGTGCTTATTAAAAATATATAAAAAATAACTAAAAAATAAATAAAATAATTAAAATAAAATAGAACAGTTTTATAAGCAATCTAAGCTGCCCAAAGCATTTAATTTCATGAAGAACATTAAATTGGAAAATGTTAATAATTGCTGAGATAGAGTCTCATAATTACCTGTTAGCGTTCAGTTAGTTAGTTATTAAAACTTTGTCATCGTTTTCATTTGTGCGTAATCTAAATTCTAATTATTTTCATTCAAAAAGTCTTTCAAAATATAATTTCATTCCTGTATTTAAATTACAATTAACTTTGATATCTGGGTTGCCTACAAAAATTCAAGAAAGTACAAAAAAAATGTAGAGCATTTCACAGCATTTACTATTTATCAAAAATGATAAAAAAAATTTTTGATTATTAAAAAATAATTTTATTGCGATAATCAACATTAAGCTGGAAACCTATTACTATTAAGCAATTTAAAAGACTTTTTCGTGGTTTTCCTTCGCATGTAACACAAATTTGATTACTTTAATTTAATCTTCATTAAAATAAATTATTCTTATAACTTTCATGAATATGATTGTATTCTGATACTTAAATTGTTAATTACTTTGATCTCTGAATTGAATTAAGCATAATAAGGGTGTTTCATTACATTCACAAAATAAAAAAGCTCACACTTAGATTTCTGGGTTGAGTTAATAAGAAGAGCTTTTCGTTCTGTTCAGAAAGATGGTACCCTATCTATTAAGGATAATAATAATGAAAAAATGTTTATTTATAATTTTACTCCGATACTTAAATTGCAAATTATTTTATTTTATATACCAATAACAGCAATCTGAAAAACATTTTTGTCTGCTTTTCATAGCGTGTAACGCGAAATTTGATAACTTCAATTTCAATTTAATCTTGATNTCTCCCCTCCCCCAATGAACCCCAACAACCGCGAAGCTACCTTCCCCACCTTATATACCTGGAGAGTCACGAAACAACACCTATCCGGAGTTTGCATGTAGATGTTTTTTCGTGACGCTTCGGAAATAAGGGGTTAATAGCATAGATTTGGCTGGAACCGATGGTATTCCTTTAAGCGGGGTTGACTGTACTAAAATAGCGAGTTACTTTGATTTTCGGTTAAAAACTACAAAAATTTGAAGAACATCTCGCCTGTACATTTTGATTCAATAAACTGATTTATTTTCTGCTTCCCTTCTTACCATTATTTCTTTTTTTTAAATGAAAAATGACTCTTCTATGGTTGATCTTGTG